GTACCCAAAACTCTGGTTTCACATGCATGAGTCTGAAAAATTGTGTGGATTAGAATAGTTTTTATGTGAGTATGAATCTAAAAGCTGTGAGTGAAAATTCTTGTGAGTACAACTCCAGTTTCTACAACTATGAAGTCTTCTCCTCTCTGTGGACACGAATTCAAGTTTGTAGGTACGAGTAAAAAAGTGTTGAAGTGACATCACACGGGGGAGGATTTGATCTGGCGACTATACCAAACGCTACATGTTCCAAATTCAAAGATGGCTGACGACGGTGTTCCAGGTGGAGCTACCAGCTCCACTGAGGCATCACAGGTGTGGTATAAATGACATGTGTATCCAGTATTTATTTATATATTACAGAAGAAAATACTATTTTAGATAATATACGGTTATTGGAGTCTTTCTCTTACTCTTATAGAGTCTTACTGCTATAGTTTGCAAGCTAACGACGGCAGACTTTTAAACCCACGCCAGTGGATATTTATTTATAAATAAATAAATATAAATAAATACTGGATACACACGTCATTTATACCATAATTCGTGTGAATTCGTGTCCACAGAGAGGAGAAGACGTCGTAGTTGTAGAAACTGGAGTTGTACTCACAAGAATTTTCACTCACAGCTTTTAGATTCATACTCACATAAAAACTATTCTAATCCACACAATTTTTCAGACTCACGCATGTGAAACCAAAGTTTTGGGTACAAGATTTTTATTGACATATAAATACGAATACGAATGTTAGAATCATGAACACACCTTTTGGACAGTTATCTTATTCCATAAGTAACACTTAGATTTTGTATTGCATGGGTTGTCATACATCAAGATAGGGAAGAAGGGAATGCTGGTAGGTGTGAGATATTGATCAAACTAAATATACCATACAGAGTGTTGGGAAAGGGAGAAGGTCAAGAATATGTTGTTGTGGAGGTGTAGCGTAAGGGAAAGGAGGTTGTAATAATAAACTATTATGAGCCATGTAAAAGGATTGAACTCGGCATGTTGTTAGGAGTTCAGGGTCAGGATAGGCACAGGGTAATTCCGTGTGGAGATTTCAATGCACACAATCCACTCTGGGGGGGCAGGCAGCGAAAGGTTCATGGCCAAGCAATGGAGGCTCTATGAGAGGAAAAAGAGTTGGTGTGTCTGAATGATGGGTGAGGTACTAGGGTGTGTGTACGTACAGGACAGGACTCTGCTCTCAACCTAACATTGATGTCTCATAGTTTGGCTAAGAAATGTAGTTGGGAAGCATGGGATGAGTCATGTGTTGGAAGTGACCACTATCCAATTATGACTGCTGTAGACATTGAGGTGGAAACATTATCAACACAAGGAGGGGGAAGGTGGGTGTTTGAAAAGGCAAACTGGGAAAAGTTTGAGGTAATTAGTGAAGAAAAAATGACAGTGATTGATGAAAGTCAGGATATTGCTGAGTTAAATGAGAGTTTCTGTTCTAAAATAATTGAGGCAGCCTTCGAGTCAATCCTGAAGAGTAGAGGGAGGATACTAAGGAAAGCTGTTCCATGGTGGACAGAAAAATGCAGTAGAGCTATAAAAGAAAGGAACAAAGCATTTAGACTTTTAGAATTAAAATGAGAATAGAATAAAACTTTATTAAAAAATAAAAC